TTAGTGAGGAGCGTGAGTGGTTTTGCGATAAGAGAGAATCCACGTATCCATTTTCTTCCGACGCCAGCAGTCCCGAGAAATGAACGGACATCTGTGACACTTGTTAGTGGACCCCAATTCAAAATCTTCGTTACCAGGCCATGCTCAAGGTGCCATCCATCTTTCAATACAATTGTCCCAACAATATGTAAGTGTGGAGTTGCAAGGACTAGCTTCTTTCCGGAAGTGGTGATACCTGATTCTATAAAGCGCATCAGAAATCTGTCAAAGGTAGAGGCGTATTCGTAAACGTAGCGCCTGATGCCAGGGGCAATCTCTGCATCATTGTAAGTTGACATGGGTCCCTTCAACCCCACGTTGTTGACGAATACATTCCCATTCTTTGGAATTTCCTCTTGAAGCACATGAGTTGTACAACGTTGAAATTCTGGCAAAGAATTGGTTGCGCCTTGAGGTAGAACGCAAGAGCGAAGAGGTCCTATTAAACAGCTGAATGTTGTTAGAGGTCTTGAAGTCACCGCTAGCCTTCTTCCGTCATAGCCTGAAAATAAGTCTGCCAGCCCATAAATCACATGTCCTACGAAGCTTTCCACGAAATCGTCAGTTCTAGGAGGTAAGCCAGCATCACGCACTGTAACCCGATTAAGTTCTTGTACATCTGCTACCAAACGGCCGACAGCGAAAATTCTTGATCGATAAGACGCCGTTGAATACTCGTATTTTCCTGCCTCCTTTTGTTCAAGAAGCATCTGGCGTACCGTATCTTCAATGGACTTCGGGATGCGGATGGGGGCTTGAACCCAAGGGGTGTGTTCAATCACCGGTATTTCATAATCTGGGAAATATTTGTCAGAGAAAGTTCCTCGTTCAGAGTCTTCAAAAGCTAGAGCTAGCTGCTGCGTCTGTAAAACGAAAACCAACAGGTCGATCTCTCGAGGTTTTAAGAACCCTTTGGGTATGCTTGCTAAAATCTTCTGTAAGCAGTCGAGCGAGAGGCAGCATGACGGAATGAAATCTTGAAGGGATGGGGGATCTAAAGGAAGCGAAGGCAGTGAGGGTATTAATACAGGGCGAAACACTTGCCCAGCCGGGTCTGGCATATAGCTTGGGACAGGTCGAACTTTCTTATCTACAGTCTTGTATTTTGTTCGCATTTGAAGGGGGTTCAATTCATAGGTTAAAGCGCATCGAGTCCAAGGTGTAGGAAGTGGTCTGGAAATTCTAGGTGAACAATGAGTGATATTCTGTAAAATTAAGTCATAAGTCTCTGGAAGCTCCAAGTGAGAGACGAAAGGAGGCGATTCAAAACCATAAGTTCCCATCATTGCGCAAAGCGACGCCCAAGGGTTGGAACAGATGCGTCCTGGTCAAGCCCAGGCTTGGGATACGTGTCTGTCCTCATTTTCCCACATCGACATCTTCCACTTCTTCAATTCTTGTACGATGATCGAGATTGAGCG